CATTTTTTGTTCGATATAATGATAGAACCAGGTTTATTTTTCGTGAAGAAATAAATAACGATTCATATAATTATTTGAGTCTTTGTTCCACGAGATTATTTCTGTGACACCGCTAAATTATTTTCTCACTATATATATGAATTAATAAATAAAACCTTTTCCTTAGTGTAGATAGCTTTTCCGATAAGAAAAAAAATACAAATGGGACCCAAAAAGGATATGAGTGAGGAGTGTTTATTGTTCTTTATCAGTAATAATATCAAAATTCATATGTTACGGAACTTGAGATCCGAGATCGCCAAAATCTGTCTTATTTTTTATTCTACAAAAGCGATCGCCAAACTGGAAGGTTTAATTTCCCATAAAAGGTGAAATATATTTAGTTCTTGACACCCATACTTAATAGACCTGCCTTACGAAGAAAGATCCGAGAAATGATCAGGTAACGTAATTACTAATGTTTTTCTTCTAACAGGTTTTCAAGCTTATCAAATGAAACTGTGTCTTGGCACTAGCTCTGCTATAAATAAGGCGGATTTATGAGGTGAGTTTTTCTCTTATATTTTTTAACGAAAAAATTCTACAATGAACGGATATATTGAAGTTTCATTTGGTAAATAAATTCTTCTATAACTTGTAGAGTCGTCCTTAAGGGCCTGACTTTATTATTATTAATGCATGGAATGCACAGATAAAAACACGATTAAACAATAATACTTTTTTACATAGTGAGAGGACTAGGTCAAATTTACCTCGAAGTTTATGATGGGGGTGATAATAGAATAGATGACGGAACACTAAATCAAGGAGAATCTACTAGACTGTAAGTTGCATGATTTCTCTAATTGTTTCGGAAGGAAGCGATTTTATTTTGCATTTATATTATACCTCATTCTTATTTCCACCGCTCTGTGTGATCATAGGTCAATTCAAAAAAAGGAAGATGGTTCATATTTATTAGCTAATAACGTAAGAATATCTCTTGATAATGTCATTCGAAATCCGGGACAATCAGAAAATCAGACAGTAGGAGGAATAGAATTAGAATTAGTATTCATTAGTAGTGAACCAGGATATTTCCAAGAAGATGCAGGTGGTGGAAGCATCAATAGAGAGTAATATATATGTGTGTTTTTTTATATGCGGAGCATAGAGTCGAAGACTCATATATTTAATAAAATATTGTTACGCCTTTTTTTGGTGCTAGTTTTATAATTCATCAGTTACATGATAAGAATATGCTGATTTGTAATACTTATCTACAATTATGCTTCCACTGCTATGTTTTTTTTTATCCAGAAATTTGTATGAATTGAGTGTGTTTTTTTCCCCATTCTTTCATAAGGTCATCGAGCCATGCAGTACTTAAACGACTTTCTAGTATACCACGACGCAATAATTCTTCGCCAATCAGCCTATCCCGATCAGTTAAAAATTTATGATATTTTCTAGGATCTTCCTTTCTTTCTATTGCACCTTGATAAAAGCGTATATCTCTTTCCAAGTCATCACGGAAGCATTCCATGGCCCACCTATTTTTCTCAGCCTCAGTAATGATCGAAAATTTCTCAGGATCCTCTCCATGTTCAATGGCATATTTATAAAGACATTCCATTTTATTTGGATTAGTCCTAGAAATTGGAATTTATCCAGGGATCAAGCCCAGTTTCTTTCTTATATCTTTTATATAACTTGGAACGAATTTTATCTGTTAAAATACTTGGTAAACCAGTTAATTTGGTATACCAATCCAGATATTCAGATGTTAATATTTTATCGGAATTGGTCTGTGTATTGTTCATATTGCCGTTTTAAATAATTCCAAATCAATTTAATTCACAATAGCCAACAAAAATAAAATATTGAGCGAATTTGTTTCAGTATTATATGGTTCTGCACTTTATTAGGAAGCAATGAAAAGGTATAAGAAGGCATAAGAAGATGGAGTTTATGCGGTTATTTCAATTTCACATTGCTCGCATTTAATATAATAGGACCCAGTTTCATATCTGCCTTCTACACCTTCCTCATGATTTAATTCGCATAATGGGCATAATGTCTCATCAGTAATTCCATAATAATCGGCATTTTCACTACTAAATTCTCGATATAAATTAGGATATTGTTCTAGTGTTTTATTACAGAAATAAGTATGATCATGTGCTGGATTAGATGATACACTTAGCTCGGTTTCTAGTAATTTTTCTGGTAAAACATTTTCAGACAATGCACTTATACTTATCTCAGTTTCCAGTAATTTCAAATCTTGATCATTTTCTTTGGATGGTTCAGAGCTAGAAGAATCGGAAACTTGAGGTATATGTGATGTACTTGCCTCGGATTTTTTGCCAGAATTTTCATTATCACCTGTTGGATTTGATCCAACGATTTTAGTCACATGATTTTGCAGATCACTTCCTGAACTCGGTTCAGGGATTTTAAATTTTAGAGTGGATGATGTGAAACATCGAATCTTTGATTCTTCTATCTTAATACTATAGTCAAATGGCACGTTGTCTATGATATATTGAATGTCTTTGTTTGTCATTTTTGAGATGCTATCAGCAGAAAAGGAATGTATTCGATAAATTTTATCCATACCTATTGCATTGAAAAGTTTATAGAGCTTCTTAGCCTTTTCGATTCTCTTCCATAAAAGTGCATCAGAAGTATTTGCAGGAAGCTGAGCACGAACTTCTTTATTTAAAATTCTACTAACTATATTAGATTCTGGATCAACTTGTTTTTCTGATGCTATTTCATTACGTCTTTGCATAAGAGCTTTTCCAAATAAGCAGTAACACGAAATAGCTTCTTGAGTTTTACGATCAGCAAGAATTATAGCATCACAAAGTTTTTCATATAAAAGTGTAAAGTTATCATTGCTGGGTTGAGATTCTGTTTCATTCAAGGTTGGAGTCACGTCACTATCTACATTACCATTGATAATAGAACCAGTATATTGTAACTGCAAATTAGAGTTTTCAGAAATTTCTAACATGAATTTCTGTACTTAGTTTTTATTAGATTGCGAATTATTATCCAAAGATAAGTCTTGGGATCTAACCTTTTCTTTATGTAATGAGTCCAGGAAATCGTTCATTTCTTTATTTTCTGAAGATTTAGTTTCTATGCGAATTGATGTTGCAGAGCATTGAGTCGTCTTTGTCTCCTGACATACATCAGAATTTGGTGCATTATCAGATGTATTTTCCATCTGTTCGGGAATATTGTCAGAATTTATTTCGGGAGAAATACTAGTATTGGCCGAAGATTGTTTGATTTCCTTGATATCATCATCTAATTTGGCAATAAGGTTGGTCTTTTCTTTATCTCTCTGCTCTAGATTCGCGAATCTGGCTTCATGTTTTTCCAAAGCTTGCTTTAACTTCGCATTCTCGGCTTTAACTTTGATATTCTCAGCCTTGACCTCAGCATTCTCCTTTCTAAGGTTAGCAATCTCAGCTACGAGCTTAGAATTCAATTCTCTCAACGAGTCAATTTGGGATTGAGTGTTTTATGTAAAATACGGATATGTTCAAAAGTTTGAATTAATTCAGAGTGCACTTACAAAAGGTAAAAATCACACCGATCACTTTTGCCAAAAAATTTTTCGATCAAAAATGTGGATATCGTTGTCCACGCAACATATTAAATTTTCGAAGTATACATGCAAAATGTAATTATGTATGCAAAATCGACCCCGGGGTCAGCTTTATTGATACAACAAAATAAAAGTATATTGTGGGATAGGGATACAAAAATTACACTGTAGAACTATCACGCCTGAGCCAGATTGGTCAGCGGTCTCAGAAATTTCAAACATTTTTTATTATTTTGTCTTCGCCCTGTAAAGAAATAATGAAAATCAAAATCCCTAAACTTTTTAACGAATTATCACAAAGCACAACCCTCGGACTCAAATGTGAAATAAAAGTAACACCATTTTTAGCAGACATATAAATAAATACTTTGAAAAGCATGCAAAAATATAATGCAAATTTCAACTTCATTATTAGAATACATCTCATCAACCCGCACATGATTAAACTATCTTCTTATCTACTTCGTTCTCTGTTTTCACAATCTCCTTATTGCCACTTCCAATGCATATTGGTTTATATTGTTAATCCATTTCGGAATTTTCTGATAGCCCTGATCTTTGACAGTCTTGTATTTTTGAAAGGAAAATTCTTCAAAGATGTCCGATGGCACGACGAAGTATAGATTAATGTTATCCACATCTCTTTTCCACGTGAGAAAACGGTCAAGGTCATTAAGTCCTTTCACCTATGGAATCTGAGTTAGTGATATAAGTGATAGCTGACAAATTATAAATTCAATTATGTCTATTGTCCCCTACCTTTATGCCGTGATCTGTTGAGACAGTGATTTGGTACAAGGCCAAAGTATTGTTATCAAGGCTGAAAGAATCAATCGATGCAAATGTCTTTGATTTTGGCCTGTTATAATATTCTTTGCGTGCCTCATTCAGTGTCATGAACCAATTACACTCCGACTCCTTGATATGTCGTTCTGTAGCCTCTAAGTTATTATTATTCAGGCACCGTATCCTAAAAGTACCGCCCCTTTGCAACTCCAGATGGGCAAGATCTTCGAAGAGATTGCCTCGAAATCCAGCAACCATTGGATGTTCATGACTGCTCATTATGAAATCGCGAAGCTTCTTTTTGTTTTTAGTTTCATATGCCTGGATCATTATGTTAGATATCATCGGAGAAGCAAAACGATACACAACTTTTATAAATGTTGGATTCACGTCAAGATGTACGAGTCTACCACTAACGGTATCTGTGGGCATGCCTGCCTTATTAATGGAGTTCACACAGCTTTCCAAATCAGCTTCAGCAATCAGATTATAGTATTTCTGCTGATATGTCTCATCGTCCCACTTTAAAAGAACTGACCTGGGTATTGGGCCCCACTTGTCTAGCAAGGACCCGACTAATTCAAACGTGAATTCTTCACCTTTTTCATTCTTCCTGTTCTTATATTGAACGGTCCAAAGTGCAGTAATTTCTTCGAGCGTCCAAACTGGCATGAAATATTGAGTGAAACCCGGCCATTTGACAGCTTCATTGAATCTTTCTACCATTGGCGATGTGAGCAGGATTTTATAGGCTGAACACCATGTCATAACATGTGCATCAGCAATGTAGAAGTTTTCAGCATTATTCAATGTTTTGCTAAACTGGTGGAAATCCCTCTCTTGGACATCACCTTCAGACAAGAATTGATAGCAATTATTTTCGTCGCCCCTCCAAATTATTGTGGCTTTAGGATATCTGTAACGAACGTAGAAGAGAATAAATAATCCAAAGTATGTCTTTCCAATACCAGGTGTACCAGTAATCGTGCAACCAGTATGAGCTGAGAGGCCCGGTTTACGATTCTTCTCGATTAGTTCGAGCAACTGCAAATAGCAATTTCGTATGAGAAGTTTCGATCCATATTTGTACTCCTCTCCGAGAAAGAACACGCCATCCGGCAAGCACAACATTCCTCCAAAGTTATCCATCAGTTTCGACGGCAATTGCAAATCAGTGATCTCTCCATTGTTGTATAGCATACCATCTGAGTCAGTAATCACACCATTGTTTAGACAAACATGATTATTTTCAATCGTATAATAAGATTCTAAACCATTTAATTCATCTTCTTCCATATCTTGTGGTATCGGGAAGACTATTTTTGCATCGAGAAGTTTTTTCCAAAATTCAACAACTCTGGGTCCAGCTGTGGGAATGATAAAATGGGAAAGATAAAGGAAAGGTTAGTCATTTCTATATTTCTCCAGCACAAGAATATAACGCCTTTTGTAAATAGGGTTGCATAAATTAGCATACCTTGAAGCTTTTGTTCTATATAATAGGAATAAATGTATGAGGCACAATTTAACAAATGAAATTATTGCGAAGAAAACAGTATAGGTTTGAAATGTTTGAATGCAGTTATGGTACTTACCCTGCTCTTCTCCCTTAATATCTCTAACTAAACTTGCAATTCTTTCAGCTGGTCCCCTTTTTAACCCATCTTGCATTAGTTTGTTCACGTCCACCTCAAGGAAGTCACGGCCAGCGACCTCTTGATCTTTGATGACTTCAATGTGTTTATCATCAAGATCCAACTCTTCTTTTTTGTCCTGTAAGAATTTAGTAACATCGTTCCGCTTCCATTTATTAACTTCTTCGACTGATGGAAGTGGAGTATTGGACATGACTGTTTGTTTGAAATTAGAAAAAATTTTTATAGAGGAAATAGTCGTACTTTCACCTTTTTATAGTTTATACATTGCACAGCCCCATGATGTCACACGGCATATTAATTAATTATCTTGATCGATTAGGTAACAATAAGAAATACCACGTATATTTTCATGATTTTTGTTCCACAAGGATTATTTTCTCACCTATTTATTATAGCAACAAAGCCTTTTTCTTGCTTTCTCTGATAAGAAGTAATACAAATGAAACTTAAAAAGGATATGAATGAGGAGAGTTCATTACATTTAATCAGAAATAATATCGAAATTCATATGTTATGGAACTTGAAATCTCCGCCATCTCCGAGATCGTCAAAATTTGTCTTAATTTTTTATTCTACAAAAGCGATCGTCATTCTGAAAGGTTTAATTTCCCATAAATGACGAAATATATTCAGTTCTTGGCGCTTGTGATTCTAATAGAATTGCTTTATGGGGCAGAGATCTGGCAAATGGTTGGGGGTAACGTAATTACTAATCATGTAAATTTTTTTCTTTTAGCAGGTTCCAGATCAAGCGAATGAAACACTATAAATAAGCCGGATTTGTGAGGCTTCATTTCTTATCTTATCGAATTTTTTTTAAGGTACGCATTATGAATAAATTTTTGAGTCAGAAATATAGTTACAACTTCATGTATTAATTAATAGTTTTGTTTTT